GCAGCACTTTTCCGAGCCAAGGGTCGCGTTGCTTTTCTGGCTAACCTTCCGAGAACATGGCAGCGGCAGGCAGGGACAGAGGCACGTGTCACCAGGAGCAAATATCACCCTTGTACAGTAGGCTGCTTTCTACGTCCATTCACACAAACAAGGAGCCCTCTCTGCGCTCCATCCAAGCAAGCAACAGGCATTGCCAAGAGCTCAAGGACACATTCCAGCCAGGCCTAAAAAGCTTGACGTGGCGAAGCAGAGACAGCGAGGCGTGTGTAGCCAGGACAGTGTCCCAAGGCTGAGAGATTCCTCCGCAAAAGCTTTCATTTATTAGTGTCCTGGGACTATTCTGTGCCTGTGTAAGAGTCAAAAATAAAGCAGCCCTCTAGGCAACACGAACATCAGAGCAGCCACGGAACGGGGTTCCTTATATAATTTGTTGATTGCAAAGTGAAGGGCTAACATTATATAAGCTGCCAACATTTCATTTCTACTTTATTTTTTACATTTCACTTGCCTTGTAATTATTCCTCCCCTCCCCCCCCTCAAAAAAGCAGCCCTTAAGGGCTGCTTTATTTCTCTAATACAGTTTGGGCTGAGGATGATCAAAGAGAGAAAAGCCAAGGATGGCAGTCTACAAAGATCGCAGTAAACGAAAGGGGGGTGATCCCAAGTGAGAGAGGAGAATAAAAATCTTATTGGCTTGGAACATTAAAAACAAGGGGGGTGGGGAGCATTTGGTCACCAGTTAGCACACTACATCGTCTCTTGTGTTGCATCATGGCATTAGCTACATTCAACAACACAGTTATGTACAGCTCTGGAAAATCTGGCCCAGTTCTCTTCTGAAAACCCACCCAAGGGTGATCCTAAACCATTCTCAGCCTTTTGTGGCCTCATCCTGCTTTCATACACCAGCACCTCCCATTTGCAATTCCCTACTTCCGGACTCAACAAGATCATCCAATGGGATGGTGATCTGGGATCTTAGGGATGTGTGCAAATTATGGGTGAGATCCAAAGACTCCCTTCCTCTGGTGGAAGGAGGCTTCCTCCAACAGCAGCCCTTCTCCAAGAACATCTCACTTTTCATGGACAGATGTGCTCCTTCTGCTGGAAGGAGGGGACCTTTAGATGCAACCTCCAAGCATGACCCATCCCCAACTGGTTGAAGCCTGAAGCTTTTGCTTTCACGGTGTGTACACAAAACAATAACGAGGCCCACACCTGCACAACACCTTTAAAGTACTATGATGGCACTTTGTCATGGCTTCCTTCAGAGGATCCTGGGAACTGTAGTGTGTTAAGGGTGCTCCCCTCAAAGAACTACCATTCCCAGAGTTGAATAACAATAATCCTTCTTCCCAGGAAACTCTGGGAATTGTAGCTTTGTAAGGGGAATAAGGAGATGTGGGTGGCGCTGTGGTCTAAAGCACAGAGCCTAGGGCTTGCCGATCAGAAGGTCGGCGGTTCGAATTCCCGTGACAGGATGAGCTCCCGTTGCTCGGTCCCAGCTCCTGCCAACCTAGCAGTTCGAAAGCACGTCAAAGTGCAAGTAGATAAATAGGTACCACTCCGGCGGGAAGGTAAACGGCGTTTCCGTGAGCTGCTCTGGTTTCGCCAGAAGCGGCTTAGTCATTCTGGAAAAACTGTCTGTGGACAAACATCGGCTCCCTCAGCCAGTAAAGCGAGATGAGCGCCGCAACCCCAGAGTTGTTCTTGACTGGACTTAATGGTCAGGGGTCCTTTACCTTTACAGGGAATAAGGGTCTCTTAACAACTCTCAGTACCCTTACTGTTTTATTTGACGTTTGGAGATACGTTTGTTCCTACATGTGTACACCAGCCATGTTTTTTTTTTTGTGTGCAAACCCAACTACAAAAAAGTAAAAGAAAAGAAAAGGCCCTCTGCACTTCCATGCTTAATTGGCACTTTACCAATTAGAGTTGCCCCCACCCCCCCAAAGCTCAGCACCCCAGAGACTGTGCTACCTTAGAATGCAGACCGTGGCATCATCCAGCTCATAAGGAATGCAGAGCCAAACCATGGTTTAGTGTGGATGAGCAAATGTACAAGTTCCTGGAACAAATGTCATTTTCAAATATTTTTATATATATTTTTTGAAGAATCTCAAGTTCCCAGAACAAAGATCATGAACGCAGCAATTATCTGAGTTCTGGCTGTTGTTGTGCAGGCTTCCTCAAACTCGGCCCTCCGGACTACAATTCCCATCATCCCTGACCACTGGTCCTGCTAGCTAGGGATCATGGGAGTTGTAGGCCAAAAACATCTGGAGGGCCGAGTTTGAGGAATCCTGCTGTTGTGCTACCCAGTGCTTAGCATGATGTGCTGATCCAGTCTTGTGGATTGCCTCCCCCAGGAAAAAAAAAGGTTTTTGTAAACATGGTTTTTGTAAGCCTTGCTTAGGACGAGCGTGTTGTCTGGAGCGAGACAAGCCATAAGCCAAGGTTTGAGCATAATGCTAAGCCACTGATAGTGCAATAGCAGAACCAGGGGCACTACCCGCCAGATGCAATCTTTGGTTTGGCTAAGTGTGTGTGGATAGTGTAGCATAACGCAGTTCCTCCCTCCACAAAGCTCCCTGTTCATAGAAAGCTAGCAGACCAAGAGGTTCTAATACCTCCCTGATCTGCTGCTTTTAAATTTGCAGTGAGACATTGGGGCAACTATTCCCCTGCATTCTGAAGCAGAACAATATGAGGAGGCTGATTCGTGTCCTTTCTCTGAAGCTGTAGATTGGCACGGAGTATCTTCTCAAGCATGTACATGAACAGGAAGTGAAATTTAGGAATAAGAAAGCTAGGTGTTGCCACTTCATTCAGATGCTGACCATTCCACCACTGCAACAATATGTGTATATTCAGGATCATTTCACACATAACAGTAACAAACCCAGTCTTGCAACTTACTGCTCACTCAACAGGACCTGCATCCAAACCTAGGTCCCTAGCAACTGTGCCTATAGGATAGAGACATTTTCAAGCACCTATTTGTCCTCTAGACATTTTATGTCTTTAGGTATACGGTTAAAGGCAGAGGCGGGGACCTTAAAATGTTATTTATCCATTTCTTGGATTTATATACTGCTTCTTTGTGGCTTAGTTCCCTCGTATTTACGGGACCGCCTCTCCTGGTATGCCCTGTAGAGGACCTTAAGGTCCATGAATAATCATAGTTTAGAGGTCCCGGGCCCTAAGGAAGTCAGATTATCCTCCACCAGGGCCAGGGCCTTTTCAGTGATGGCTGCGAACTGGTGGAATGCTCTATCCTATGAGACCAGGGCCCTGCAGGATTTAACTTCCTTCCGCAGGGCCTGTAAGACAGAGCTATTCCACCTGGCTTTCAATTTGAACGTAGCCTGATCTTTTATTCCCCTTCCTTCCCTCCCCCTCCCCTTTTTATGAAGATTACCTGCTCTGGGTTCCCACAGCTAATTCTCCCCTGGTCTCCTCGCTGGCCCAAATAGGACTAATTTAGCCAGCTAGCCCTGGTGATCATCTAATGTTTATTGGATGGATTTTTCCACAAATTGATTTCTGAATTCTGAATTTATTGTTATTCATGTTTTACACTGTACTTTATGCTGGTTTTGTTGCATCAAGTATGTGTTTTAAATTTGTTGTTAGCCACCCTGAGCCCAGTTTTCTGAACCGGGAAGGGTGGGGTATAAATAAAAATTTATTATTATTAACAATGCTGTCAAGGTGGTTTGAGTGAAAAAGTCCCTCAATGGCCTGCTCATTTTTTTACCCGCCCCTCATTTAAAAAAAGAACTGTTTCGATAAGTCAGCAACCCATGGAATAGATTGGAGTGTAATACTGTACTGAAAATTCCCCAGTGGACATTTTTGCACAAAAAAAGGGGGGGGAGGTTCTGGGAACCAAAATTTCCCCACTCCCAAGTTAACCTTTTCACACCTGATCACTGATATTCAAAATGCCTCTCGGCTGTTGCTGCAGCGCTTACTCCTTGGGACTGAAATTCCAACCAATCAGGATTCACATTGCTATCAACATGTCATGTGGCAAACTGCGTCACAAAGCCAATTGAGAGGGGGTGTGATTCTTCTTGTCCTCTCTCTGAAATGGCTTTGAGGTGGTGGCCACCCAGCCAATCAGATTCAGCTATGCAATGATGTGAAATAAGCCAGTTCCGAGGAAACTGCAGACAGCATCATCCTTGCTGTTAGTAGGTGCTGGCGGGAAAGCCATGATCCAAACTCTTTTTGCAGCTTCCCTGAAAATCACTGAAAGGAGAGAGGCCTCCTTCATGGAGGGAAAATGCCCCTAAGATTTTCCCAATTTTGGCTCAGCATTATTCTGGTGTTCTCATATGAATAATTTCAGCGAGTGGTTACTGACCATGTAGCACTACAGATAAGCTCGTTTTCACCAGATATGCGCAATATCGATTAACACAAAACCAAACACGTTGTTGCTACTCACATTAGAAAATTACTCCAAAGTGGGAGCCACACTTGGGGTGGGGGAAAGGTTTATCCTGTCATATGTTGGCCACTGCAACTAATAATGTAATTAAAAAACGATGTTCCTCAAACTGGAATTAATGTAAACATTTTGAACTCACAATTTCCCAATTTCTCTTTCAAATCCTGAACATAAAAATCTCACACCTGAAAACTGAATCCACATTCTGTATGTAGAAGTTTCTACCTCCACGTCGGAAACATGAGCGCTCCTCAAGTATCATAGTTTGGCAAGCAGCATCTTCTATGAAATCTCATATGCTGCCAAGCACTTAAAAGTGCCTGAAGCACTTAAAAAAACCCCACCAACCATTCTGAACATGTCAACTATCAAACTCTGAAAAATATCAAATGTTCAAACCAACTATTGTGGAAAGTCAAGTGCAGATATGTGTTAAGAGTCACAAGCTTTTAACTGAAGAACTGGTTAGGCTAAACTGATGTTGAACTGACTAAAAAGGCATTCCTGGTTAATTGGTCAACACTAATTTTTTTTAAAAAAAGTTAGTTATTTTTGTTATAACTACTTAGAAGAGGCATGCCTCTGTCACTTGCACACAGAGGACCCATGCACACTAGAAAGCGTGTCAGAGTAGGACCTGGGAGAGCAGGGCTCAAATCCCCACTCAGCCTTAAAGCTCGCTGCGTGACCTTGGTCTGGTGACAGTCTTTCAGCTTAACGTACCTCACAGGGTTGTCGCGAGGGTGAAAGTTGGGAAGAGTAGAACCATGTATGCTCCTTGGAGGAATGTAGTAAGAAAATTAAAGAATAAAAACATCACTTCTAAGGTGGCACCTACTGTAGCATATGTCATCTTAAAATACACCCTTTCATCCAAAAGTAATGCTTTATTCATATGCAGATTTAGATCAAGCGAAACTAAATAAATGGTTGCTTAATTCTGCACATGAATAAAGCTATATTTTTTTATTGTGAGGGCGGGGAAGCATATGCTCTTTGTTTTTCTTTATCAGAGGCTGAATCCCTAATTAATATTCAGTGGAGATTCGGAAAATATGGGAGCATCCAGAGAATACTGGAAAGTATTCAACACCATAATTTGCAGACGCAAAACTGGGAATTTTGGGGAGCAGTTTTCTTGCCCTGCTTGCACCTGACTTACATGCATTTCTGGGAATAAGCCCTTAGCTTTGTCTAACCGTCTGCTCGCGCTCAGGGTCTTATTAGTTTGACGAACCCTAGACGTGGCTGTTTTCCAGTATGAAGAAATCACCGAAACGCTTCCCCCTTTGCAAGCACCGCTGAAATGAATGGCAGGTATTCAAGGGCTGGAAATATGCAGGTGACATCATCATTGGCAGCTTGCGCCCATCTGACACTTAGGCAAAGTGTTGCAATGAGAAAACCATCAGTCTTGGCTTACGGCTCCTCACTGCAGCTACAAAGTTCACATATATAAACTGAATCGATCAGCTCCGTCATTTTGCTGGGGGTGGCCAGGGAGAAGGAATGAGATGGCTAATGTTTGGGTTAAGCACAAACCATGGTCAAAATAAGACAGCATTGACATGAACAAAAGAAAGTTGCAATTGCAAAGTGAAGTTTGCATTATACATGGCCAGGCCACCTTTGCGGGTTTCACACAAGAAGGTCCTTTCCTACTGCGACCTAGGACCCTCTGTTTCGGAGAGATAGATCCTGGGAGATTGAACCTGTGGTTCCTCCCCAAAGTCTGAACAGCAGTTCTGATTCTTAAGTACAATGCACCACCTTCTTGGTGGGCCTGGGATGCAAAGGAATGTAGGATGAAGCCCATACTGGAAACCCAGCACGCAACTTTCAGGCATTGCAAAATTGGCTTCCAGTTAAGTGTCTACAAAAACAGGAACTGACTGCCCAGGGTCTATCAACCAGGCCAGATTCTTGCTCCTCAAATGTGCAGGTACTCGGCATTTTGACAATGCGAGGCCAGCTCAGAATTGTGCCCAGTTCTGCACCGTGGGATCAAATAGGTTTGGGTTTCATGACCAAGAGCAATCTGGACTGCTCAACAGCAGCTATTACCTTACAGCAATAGGCCTGTGTGGAAAGACCGGGCAATTGTTTCATCAAAAAATAAATATTTTGCTTAAAAAACATTCACATTTCTTTTAAAAAAAAGGTTTCCCAGTTTATGCTACAAGGACTGGAGAATACTGCTATTGAAAGGAGTAACCTGTCATTTTCTTTAAAAACAAAACAAAACAAAACAAAAAAAGGAGAGAAAAATTGGCACTGTCCTATGACTTGTTCAATACTCCCTGAAAGAAACAGGAATGGTTGACTCCAGGCACCTTTCAAAATCCAGCTTTGGAAACAAAAAAAAAAGGAAACCAAAAGGAAACCATATCCCCAATTGAATGGGTTGCCAGTCTTAAATCTGAGCAATATGAAATACTCAGCAAAAGCCCTTTGTTACCCCTACCCCTCTTCAAACTGCTTGACGCTCTTGAGTCGCAACGTTGGCAACACCCAGTCAAATCCCGCCATTTTGCTGAGATAACCACCAATCACCTCATGAAACACTGCCCGTGAGGACTCCGACTCCTCTGTCCATCTTCAAGTTATCAATGGAGCAATTGTTATTGTAGCATTCCATGCAAATCCCATTTTAAGGTTGGGTTTTGAGTCCCCGCAGCCTTTCCCCAGTTTGTTCGTTTGGCGAGACCAACTCCCTCAGACCCAGGTTCTCCCAGGTTCTCACGCTTGGCAATGTTCAAGCTGCATTCGCAACACGCCACTTTTGTGGAGAAACCACAGCTGTAGGAATTCCTCCGGCATAGCGTGAAACCACGAATCCGGCAAGATGTTGTCGTAGTAGTGGTGACTGATAAACTTCCCATGCAGGTCCATCGAAAAGGGCCAGAACCCATAAATCGTTACTTCTTCACACAAACCCAGGGCTGCACTGACCAGGAAGAGGCCCGTCGACAGCCGCTTTCCATGGATTCCTTTGTTCTTCCAGAACTTTCCGATGTCGCGCAAGAAGTTTGGGTTGGCGAAAATCACCTTTTGCCTGGCGCCAACGTCTGCTAGGGTGTAGTAGACCCTGAGAGAGGGCTCTGTCCCCGCTTTCATGGAGAAGGCCGGCATATAGATGTAGCTCTGGTTGTAGACTTTAACACTGTCCACAAAGGCTTTTCGGGACCAAAGAAGGTTCTGGAACCTGTTCAAAAACAGCAAGGGCAGGGGTGGGGGGGAATAACAAGTCAATGCCTTAAAATCAATTCAAAACAGTTTGAAAAGGCCTTGCGAGTACTGATGGAGAAGGCTTTTTGAGACCAAAGAAGATTTTGGACAAAAATATGTAATATTTCCAAAAAAGCAAATGGTATACACCTTAGATTCAAATGCTGATTTGGAAAGAAATTGCACATACTGGTAGCTATGACTGAAATATTTCTGCTCTATCAAACAGGTTGGTGTTTCTATTTTCCTTTTTCAAATTTTATAATCACAGTATTTTATAAATTCAATACTCTTCAAAAAATACAATGTAGACCTCCCCCTTTTCTCCCCTCCCCTGGTGTTTCTGTTTCCCCATTTCATCATGTTTACTAGGGCTGGGCGTGATGTATCTATATTTCATCCAAAAGTAGATTGAAATCCATATTGTGATATCAGTTTCATAATTCCTGAGCTGGCAATATATCGTGAATAATGATGTGTACGTGTGTGTGTGTGTGTGTGCGTGCGTGCGCGCTATGCAAAAATCACAATGTGGGTAAAACCGTGAAACCAGCCAATGCCTATACATAGCTCCATTCTGATATATCAGTATACAGTGGTACCTCGGATTACAGATGCTTCAGGTTACAGACTCCACTAACCCAGAAATAGTACCTCGGGTTAAGAACTTTACCTCAGGATGAGAACAGAAATCATGCGGCAGCAGGCCCCTTTAGCTAAAGTGGTACCTCAGGTTAAGAACAGTTTCAGGTTAAGAACGGACCTCCAGAACGAATTAAGTTCTTAACCTGAGGTACCACTGTACAATGGTACCTCAGGTTACATATGCTTCAGGTTACATACGCTTCAGGTTACACACTCCGCTAACCCAGAAATAGTGCTTCAGGTTAAGAACTTTGCTTCAGGATGAGAACAGAAATCGTGCTCCGGCAGTGCGGCGGCAGCAGGAGGCCCCATTAGCTAAAGTGGTGCTTCAGGTTAAGAACAGTTTCAGGTTAAGAACGGACCTCCGGAACAAATTAAGTTCTTAACCTGAGGTACCACTGTACTGCAATGTTTAGCCAGTGATATTTGACGATGTTGAAAAGCAGACATCGCCCCACCCTAATGTTTACCCTTTGCAGAAATGGAGAATGTGAGCACACAAGCAGAGCCCTGCTGGTTCAGGCCAGCAGCCCAACAGGTCCAGCATCCCATTCTCACAGTGGCCAACCAGATCCCTGTGGGAAGTCTGCAAAAGAGCACTTTCACCTCTCCTCCAGTTTCTAGCACCTGGTATTTAGACACATGCTGCCTCCAACAGTGGAGGCAGAACATCACTACTGTGGCCAGGAGCCACTGATAACATAAGCCCCGTGCATGCCTCTAGACTTCTTCTAAAGCCATCCCAGTTGGTGGCTATCACTGGCTCCCGAGGCAGCAAATTCTGTAAGTTAACACAGGAAGCCAATCCCTTTGTTCTCTTTCTTCCCTTGGCATTGGGCTTTGCGTACTGACTTTCGGTGTGACGGGCTTTGGCATGAGCTGAATGCCCAGTGGATTACCACGGATTCTTGTCCTCGTCTCTTCACATCATTTGCCATCCTGGCAGAGGAATTGCAGCAGATGCAACCAAGAGCAAAGCGCCAGCAGGTCAGCAAGGCCACACAGAAGGGGCGTTCGCAATTATCTTAGACAACAACGCAGGGAGCCAACTTTTCAACAGGCGCAGGGCCCAGTTCGGCAGATGGGAAGAAATACAGGCAGCCAAGAGGCCCCAGGGCTATGGGCCATCAGAAACTAAAAAGCCATGCAAACAAGGAAATATTAGCAGTCACTCGGTATTCTTGTTTTGTATTATTCTGTTGTGAACCGCCCTGGGAACTTCGAATGAAGGGTATTATACTATTACTACTACTACTACTACTACTACTACTACTACTACTAAAACTACGCCTTTTCACTTCATCTCTCTGATATAAAAAATCATGGCGTTAAATATGATAATGAACTACCATACGTATGGCAACAGTAGAGCATGCACAGCCATGGAATTCCTCAAAGAGTTCCTTAAGTCAGTATCAGTTCCTGTAGTTCCCCACCCCTGGATCAAGGAAACTTCACATAACATGAGGGTGTTGTTGTTTTTACAACGCCTTACTAGGGAGAGACTCTTGAGAGTCCCATGGACTGCAAGAAGATCAAACCTATCCATTCTTAAAGAAATCAGCCCTGAGTGCTCACTGGAAGGACAGATCCTGAAGTTGAGGCTCCAATACTTTGGCCACCTCATGAGAAGAGAAGACTCCCTGGAAAAGACCCTGATGTTGGGAAAGATGGAGGGCACAAGGAGAAGAGGACGACAGAGGACGAGATGGTTGGACAGTGTTCTCGAAGCTACCAGCATGAGTTTGACCAAACTGCGGGAGGCAGTAGAAGACAGGAGTGCCTGGCGTGCTCTGGTCCATGGGGTCACGAAGAGTCGGACATGACTAAACAACAACAACAACTAGGGAGAGAGGAGGAGGAGGAGACAGTTTGACTTCTGCTCTTGCTGATAGCCCTGTCTTTCCAGTTTTGCTCCACGTTGTTACACATAGACCAATGGTTGTCCCCACGATTCACCCAGTAGAAGATTTAAATCCGAATAGAGAGGAAGATGGCAGTTGGGTTGGCAGTTTTGTCACAAAGTAATGTGGGGCAGCTCAATACAGTGGTACCTCTGGTTCCGAAGTTAATTCGTTGTGGAGATCCATTCTTAACCTGAAACTGTTCTTAACCTGAGGTACCACTTTAGCTAATGAGGCCTCCCGGTGCCAGTGAGCGATTTCTGTTCTCATCCTGAGGTAAAGTTCTTAACCTGAGGTACTACTTCTGGGTTAGTGGAGTCTGTAACCCGAAGTGTTTGTAACCTGAGGTCTTTGTAACCTGAGGTACCACTGTACAGGCTTTGCAAGAGATAATAACTGGCAGCAAATCTATGGACCTGACATCTCTTCTGTGTAAGCCAGTGGTAGCCAATGTGGCAGCTTTCAGATATTGAACACCTACTTCCATCAGCTGCAGACAGCATGGTCAATAGTCAGGGATGATGGAAGTTGTAGTCTATTAACATCTGGAGGGCGTCCCGCCGGCTATCCCTGCTATAAGCAATAGAAAGTTGGGCGCTTTCCAAATATTCATTTAGGTTTCAACAAAACCAGCTGTGGCTTGCTTTGAGGCTGCTCATAGCTACCCTTTCCCTCCTACATCAACTCATCCTGTAATTAACTATATGAAATGCTGAAATAGCGACTTTGCGGGTCACGTGCGCCATCAGAGTCTGGGGAGGCATCATAAGCCCTGACATAAACATTATGCGAGGAAGATAAAAGAGAAGCTGAGCTTAATAAGAAAACATTGCTACTATTATCCAAAAAAAGCGAACCAGAATTAGAAACACATCTGGCTCGGGAGGGTTCATTTCTTGCTTCTATTTAAATGCAAATGTCATATTCTCGGAATAGCTGGGTTTAACACATATGAAGTGGGATTGGACTAATGGTAATATCTTTTTTTGCCTATTCATTTTTATTCATTTTTCAAATTTATAACACGACAACTCCAATTAAAACTAATTTAATACACACACACCCAAAAAAGAAAAACCTGGCTTCCCACTCTCTCAGGTATTTCCATTTCTTCCCATTTTACATGCTGCTTATTTTACAGATTTATCTCTAATTAGCATTTTTGGGGGGGGGGGTACTAATGGTAAATCCAATCTAGTATGTGTATCTGGCTGGACACCCGTGGGTTCACAAATCAAACCTGATAGAGATTGGCACCCTCAATGAACATCTTCTGGATTGTGGAGGCTGTGCTAAGTTGCCATGGCTAATAGCCACTGGTGGACCCTTCACCAAACCCAGTTTCTGGCACGCTCCAGTAGGTATCCAATCTTTTGGATCCCACACAAGCAAGTACAGTGGTACCTCAGGTTACAGACGCTTCAGGTTACAGAAGCTTCAGGCTACAGACTCCGCTAACCCAGAAATAGTACCTCGGGTTAAGAACTTTGCTTCAGGATGAGAACAGAAATCATGCTCTGGCGGTGTGGCGGCAGCAGGAGGCCCCATTAGCTAAAGTGGTGCTCTAGGTTAAGAATAATTTCAGGTTAAGAACGGACCTCCGGAACAAATTAAGTACTTAACCCGAGGTACCACTGTAATGTGTGTGTATGCCTTATTTCTCCCCTTCCATGGGTTTAATTGCCATGCATACGGCTTTCAAAATCAAGAAATGGTGTCTGCGATGGGCACACGTGTCATTCAGTTTGGGATGTGAGATTGGGCCAATATCAACAGGCATTTCGTATCTCACCTCAAATGCAGCACATTTCAGGGAAGTCTGTTTATTTAGTTCTCCTGACTTCCTGCACTATATACGCATGTGAGGCTGAGGTTGTTGTAATACTCAGGGTATGGACCAGAGCCAGCCAATGGGGCGCCCTCAAGATCTCTTGGACTGGTTCCCCACATTTCTTCACTGAAACTTCAATTCATTGGTTGCTGCTTTTCTTTTAAAATGGGTGGAAAGGAAGGTGGAATCATTATATCGTATCACATGTCTTCTTTACCAGGCATCCACTGGAGGGGACTCAGGTTGCTGTTGACGGTACATTCACAGAAGCAGCCCATTTGGGCCCCTCCTCCTCCTCCTCCTCCTCCTCCTCAGACATCACACTAAACCATAGTTTAGCATGATGAGGATGAACCACAGCAAATCACTGGCCTGTGCACACACCCCTTGCCCTCCTCTTTTGCAGCCACAAAGATTGAAAACATCTGCTTCTGAGTAACCACAGATTAGCATGCTGTCATCTCCAAACTCTAAACTGTGGTTAGTATGAACCAGGCATCCCCAAACTTGGCCTTCCAGATGTTTTGGGACTACAATTCCCATCATCCCTGACCACTGGTCCTGTTAGCTAGGGATGATGGGAGTTGTAGTCCCAAA